TAAGCACGGCAAAAGTTAGCAATGACAATCATACATACGAACAATCTACTCAGTTACACAGTTTCACTTGTAATATTGATGGCAATAATCTATCTGTAGTTCCAAATAACAAGGTCTGAAGGTTTATCAATACATCTGATCTTCGATTGACTGATAAAGTCACCTGAATACACAAGAAGGCCATACGGGAAGTAGAGTATTTAGGGTGAACACTTTCAAAAGTCTTTAGGAAGCGAATTTTAAGACTCCTAATTAAGCGCTGCACATCCAGATTACCTTCTGCAAATCTCGAATCACTACAAACCGGGTGTTATATCGCGAAAGGCCAAAAATATTCTTCACGATATACCATGACAAGCTAGGAATCGGCAAAGGCACATACTTGAAACTTGTCATGCAGCGTCCCGCTCTAACATTCCAGTCAGAAAGATTAGTCAGACTTCGTGCAAAGCTGTTACTTACAGGGATTAATTACCCCCCCCCCCCATACAATCCAAGATTGGTATCATATATCCAGAAAAAAATTGGATGGTTTTTTGTTTCTGTTTCCATTACTGCACTTCCGAATGTTGCATGTAATACCATTTTCACCAGAAGTGTCGTGTCCTAAAAGCATGACCTATATATATATATATATATATATATATATATATATATATATATATATATAATATATTATATATATATATATATATATATATCTTTTTTATTTTTATTATTTGATTTTTACAAATTTTTCTACGAGATACTATGCTGCGCGTTGAAACGAACGAGATTTTTTTCTATTCCTCGCACGTTTTGAACGATGAATTGCGTAAAGGTTTCACTTCATATACTGATAGACAGAATATTTTCCCATAAAATCACTACATTTTATGCAATACTGTTTTTTACACATTAGTTTAATTTTAGGGCAGCTGTCTTTGTAAGTGAGCTTTATTTTAGGTGCTTTTTTACTGAACGTGTAACCCATCCACTCCTGATAAAAGGCCTGGAAATTCAAACCGGCATTATTGAACAATTACGTAGATAAATAAATAATTATTTAAATAAATAAATTTACGCCTTCGTGGAAATATGGCATTTCAAGCCGGGATACTCTGGATTCACTGGGATACACTGGATGCACTGGATTCCAAGCCGGGACACACACACACACACACACACACACACACACACACACACACACACACACACACACACACACACACACACACACGCACACACACACGCACACACACACGCACACGCGCACGCGCACACGCACACGGACACGCGCACACACACGCACAAGCACACGCGTACACGCACACACACACACACACGCACACGCCTACGCACACGCACACGCACACACACACAAACACACACACACAACACACACACGCACACACACAACACACAAACACGCACACACACACACGCACACACACACGCACACACACAACACACACACACACACGCACACGCACACGCACGCACGCACACACACACGCACACACACACACACGCACACGCGTACAAACACACACACACACAAACACACACACAACAGACACGCACACACACAACACACACACACGCACACACGCACACGCACACACACACACACACGCACACGCACACGCGTACACACACACACACGCACACACACGCACACACACGCACACGCGTACACACACGCACACGCACACACACACAAACACACACACAACACACACACGCACACACACGCACACAACACACACGCACACACACACACACGCACACGCACGCGCGCACACACACACTCACTCACTCACTCACACAAACAAACAAGCAAACAGATGATAATGTAAGTGGTGTACTGATAGACAGCGGTCCGCGTATGTAGCAACAAAGTTTGCAAGCGTGACTAGGTGGACGACAGCTGGTTGAAATCCTTCTGCCGGTCTGCGCCACATGCACAACACTGCATCGTAATAACACAACCGTATATTTTGCACGCCAATGCCGAATTAGGGACATCCAGCTTTCGTCGCTCAATTCGTACTTTGCGTTGTCACCAATTACCAGTTTTTATGGCCCTGCGTTACTTCTAGCATCGAGCCCGCACTCATGATTTGCACATGTTTCTTAGCGTTGAAGAACGAGCTGAGATGGCTCTAAAGCGAAGTAATAAACCGATTTCGTACACAAGAGAAAATGTAGGTCACATCCGAAATAATCTGTCACTGTTGCGTTTATATTTTTATTTCTTCTTTGCGCAATGATGCCTTCAATTTTCGCTTTAGTCCACGAAAACAATCTTGCGTGTATACAAACGTGTAGGTAATTGAAGTAATTATGCACATTTTAAAACTTGGAAGTAATGTGCATGCGCATACAATAAATGGCAGACGTGTTTCCGAGCTTTACTAAATACTTCACACTCTCTGTCAGAGGGACGAGGAACCTACAGGACATCGACTTAACGGTTGTGTTTTGTGGAGCGTCCTCTCATAGCTATGGTCTTTAAATAAAATGAAATATCGCTCTGGCACACCCATAGTTATGAAATATACTTGTATTGATATTTCAATTCGATCTAACTAACTGTATGCTGGCAGTCAAAATGTTGAATACTTTATAATACATCTTACGTTTTCAGTTTTGCTCCATCGCTCCTTCTCTATGAACGTGATAATGGATACGTCTGTCATTTCACTTTAGTGCGAGCACAGGAGCGGGTTAGAGCGTGCCTGGTACGGGCGTGTGAGGCTGTCAACAACATTGCTCTCGCTGGACCTTCCTTTTCTTTCGATCACCTGACTTTCCATCCACGCAGAAAAACTCGCGGAAGAATTTTACTCCAAAAGATGAAATAGTACCAAGCCACATTCAGCGCGACGGCTCGTACCGCACAAAGATGTGTTGCATGTACTAATTAACAAGTAAAAGAGTTATGGTGTTGAACTTCACAAAAACAAGAACACTGCTGCACCTTATTTTTTAAACAAAGTTGCTCGTGACATATGCGCCTCTTTTGTGGATGGTTTTGGCACATTCATTACCAGAAGCTGAACACAATACAAATTCACCGTAGAAAAGTACGCAAAGTGTAAATGATGCTGTATTTACATCACACCCACTGCATATACGAATATTATGCAGGTTATTTTTATTTCAGGATTACTCATTGACACTGCTAATGCCACGGAGTCGTGTCAACGTAGCTAATGTGGAAGTTATTCTGAAAGTTTAATCCGTTTTCGTATGCCTGTGCTTCCCCTTTTTTACACGTGAAACAACGTGTGAGATCAACGTAATTCCACGCTCGTAAACATTTTCATTATGTGCACCATCAAGAAGTGTTTTTTTTTTGTTGTGCATATTCGTTGCTTTTCTTATAGTACCTCCTCTTCAAAACGTCGTATGCACAGCTCCTCATGGACGTTCATATTTGTTTATTCTTTCAAAGATATGCCCATCGATCAACATGCTGTTTTGTAAATAAGGCAACAAGGCAGGTGATTGACAACTCCTGGTGGCACTTGCAACGTTATAAGCTTTTTCTTTTGTGTATATATTGTTATTTACTCTATTTAAAATAACAAATTATGTTTTCATTCCATAAAATGACATTATTTTAGTAGTTTAGTAAAAGATCTGCAGCGCACCTATTCCATCGCAAGTATCTACTCCCGTTGTTTCCCCATATATATATATATATATATATATATATATAGTAATGGGGGAAACATATATATATGTGTGTGTGTGTGTGTGTAGTAATAATGAGCTGGAAGTTATCTATTTCAGTCCAGAAAACTTTCGGTTCAACAAACAGTTTTGTGAGGTCCTTTATTACAGTTTTGGGAACTGCATTTTCATCCTATAACTTATTGGTTAACACTTTATATTGACACTCGCGCATCTTATAGAACTCCTCGAATACCGCGATTTGACGACCCTTTTTTTTAGTATTTGCTGCCATCAAGCCTGGTACATGTGTACTAACTAACAGTCCATTACGGGTAGTACATTGCACGATAATGCTTCGCTCGAGCTGTTTCACGGAGCATACGGCACTACGAAGAAGAAGATGACAGAGCGTGAGAAGGCTACTCTGTTTATATTATGTACATACGCACGGGGCAGCCTTTTCGGCGAGAATCCGGTCCATTTTGCGGCCTCGCAACGGCGACGCGTTGTTTGCACATGTAAGTAAAAGACGACGTCAAGTGTGTTTGTCTCGAAAGCACCGGCCTTCTCGGGGGACTTTCATTAGATGATCTTTAGGGAGAGTGCGGAGTGGGCCCCATTTACAGAGGGAAAAGCCCTTTCAGAGGGCAGCGCCACGGTCCTCTTTTCTCAGCGTGTATTCCAGGTGCGGGGTGGGGGGGGGGGGGGGCTCCTTATGCACGACGGTTTTGTCTGGATTTCGAAAACAGGAAGAGAAAAGTGGAAGAAAAATGCATACTATGGTGTACTTACGTATTGTACACTTGGTGCCCGTAGTATTGTGGTATACAAGACTTTTTTTTTTGATTGTTTTGAAGTTATTCTTACTTCTATGTTATGTTATGCCTTTGTCTTGCGTATGCACCATACATTTATTAAGTGTCCTGGTGTTATTTGATGGTATTATATAGTATACTTCACCTGATAATGTTTTATGCACTGTTATTCAGCCTACTAAGCCTAAATGTTGTATACGTAAAGCACGCATTTGTAAAAATAAAGACTTCTGACGCTCTTTCAATAGCGTTCTTGCGGAAATATTGTATATTTTCATTCATTTTGTCTGACATCGTTGACGCTTTATTCGAGCTTTTGTAGCACTAGCCCATAGGACGTTTAATAAAAATTGCATAAAAAATGTTGAGACTGCCGCGAAGAAAGCAACGCGTTACCAAGAGGAGACGATACAAGCACTGCTTTTGTATTTGATAATTTATTCAGTGGGACAGATTATTATGGCATAAAAGCTGATGTAGTAACGCTCATGTGAATGTAGTTTACTAAGTGATCGCTTTACGATGGGTACGTTAAGTTAACATTTCCTGACTGTCCTGCTGAGAAACGACATATCAATACCGCTAAACTTCAGTGGCGTCTCCAAAGACTAAATGCCAGCAAGACTTTTTCACGAGCTGTAGGAACTTTTTCTAATTAATTATTCGTAGAAAGGTTCATCCAGCTCATGTGTATCTGTTGAGACTTTCTTTTGTTTTCCGTCATATTTTTCCGCATAGTATAGACGAACACCTGATAAAAAATGCAAGCAAAAGGCCCCGAGAAAGGCAAGTCTTGCCGACGAGGGAACATTTCTTCGTGGTACGTCCCTCATCTAACTTTTTTTTTCACTGACGTTTTTCCTGAGATGTACTCACTTTTATTACTTTTTATAAAAGAGCCTTTTTCGTGCCATTTCATATAATCGTTCTTTTGTATGTTCGCATCTTCTTTTGTTGCCGCAATCTTTCTTATGTTCTTTTCGTGTTTCTCTAAAGCGGCCCAGGACAGCCAGCCGCTCGAAATAAATTGGACAACCATGCGAATGATTTGAACACAGCGGGGACCTTCCGTGAACCATGCCACGCCAAGCGTTGATATCTAACCAAAGGTCAAAAGGAAAAAAAAGAAAAAATATTAGAAATAGCAGTTTCAATATTTGTTCTCATTTACTTTCAGGTATTTTTTTCTTCTGTTGTCTTTTTGCCTGAAATAAAAAAAAAACACGAATCAGCTCATCGTAAAGAGGAGCGTCTAACGTTTTCCCCATTCAGCCAATATTTATCCTGGACTGTTCGTTCGCTATTAAAAATTTGACAATGCATGGGTGCGCATTTCATTCTAATTAACATCAGATATTTTGTTAAGGCCTTGTGTTTGCCGCCCATTTTTTTTATTTCATTACGTACTAGACTCATTAGTGCAAAGCACTTGTTCACTGGTTAAACTGGACTTAATTGGAATAACTGTCAGCCCCCCATAAGTAGAAAAGTCTTTCCCATATGAATCTCAATTAAAGAACCTCCACCTCCTTGAAATCTGACACAGAATAGAAAATTTTATCCGACAGAAAATATTTAGTGTAATAATAAACGTAAGTGGGCATAATTTGTTTGACGCCATTACTGATAAACGTTTCGTGTTTGCTCGCATTATACAAACAATGCTTTCATGTAGACTATAGTGCCTACTGATTCCTGTAAAACTATAAATAAATAGTAGGCAGTATCTGCATAACTCTAATACATGTTTTACACATTGCCATTGTTCTGCTTCGGAAAGGCGGCCGCAAATTTTTCTCCTGATACTGCCCCGCTGTGATACAATGGTCACTGTGTACGGCTGTTGACTCGAAAGAAGCGGGCTTGATTCTGACAGCGGCAGCCGCATTTCGATGCATTTCCATGTATAGAAATGCGGCTGATGAATGCGGACCAGAGATCGCGTTACTGTACGATGTCAATGCTCGTTAAGAAAAAGCAGATGGGTGATCTTTCCGGAGCCCTACAATACAATGGGACTGAAAATCTTGACGTGGTTTTGACACGCACAATCACAGAAATTATTATTACTAAATTATGCTAACATGTGGGGCAGAAACATGTAGGATAATATTAAAATAAAAGTAGAGAAGATACGAACTACAAAGCGTGTCGATTGAACGAAATATAATTAATCGATGATGACTAGCGAAGCAGTAGAAAAATATGGGAAAGTGGTGGTGGTGGTAGTGGTTAGAAAAGGAGAAAGGCACCTAATTTCTGCAGCCCGTTCGGGAGCACGGCGCAGTGCCTAGGGAAAAGTGAGCTTAAGTTAGCAGACAATCGCTGCGTCAGCGCTGTGAGGTAGGAGAGGGAAGTGTAGGAGAGGAGAGAAAGGGGACACGCATGCGCAATGGGAAAGCAAGCGCAAGAAGGAGGTAGAAGAGAGTACGTTAGTAGACGCCCCCTGCTTCTGCATTGCGAGTCAGGACAGGGGATGATCAGGAGAGGAGAGAGGGAGGGGAGGGGACGCGTATGTGCAATGGGGGAGCGAGGGCAATCAGAGCAGGTTAGTAGACGCTCCCTGCTTCTGCATTGCGAGTCAAGAGAGGGGGTGGTGCAGTAGAGGAGAGAGGGATGGGACACGCATACCCAATATGGGTGCGAGCTCAAGCAGGGAGTAGAAGTTGAGAGAGTAACGCGCAGCTGTTGGAAGAAGGGAAGGCGATGCCTCCTCCTAGTCTTTTCAAAGACGATAGTCTTTCTTGGGGACCTTGGACGGAAAAATTTTGGTCTGTCTGTCTGTCTGTCTGTCTGTCTGTCTGTCTGTCTGTCTGTCTGTCTGTACATTTGTTTGTTTATCCGCCCTAACGATACCTCAAACGGCACCAAACGGCCAACCCCATCCGCAGCGCCCACCAATATTACTCAAGGTTTAGCGTTCATAGTTGTGCGATAGTCAATAAAAACAAAAAACAAATACTGCGCATATCTGAGGCGCTATAACAACACGTCTAAGTTTTGTATGTCTGCCTGTATACTAGAAGAGGCATACACAAGTAACTATAAGGACTGTAGCGTTTATCGCGCTGCGCTGACCGTGCAACGCGATGCTCAAGACGGTGTTTCCAACGCTTTGCTACGATGACACGGTGGTGGCACCTGTCCGTCGCTCTGAATTCTACACCTTATCACCTCCGAGACTGGCGCGCATCTCTCTCCGCGGCACCGCACGTCTTCGTTTTCGAAGATAACTACCAGATGGCGCTCGTGTCTAACGTGCCTAGATGCGCTTGTTCGCCTCCGCTACACGCTCGAGGCACTCTAACGCTGGGCCTTCAGAATACCATTCAGCGATTTTCTTGCGCAGAACATCAAATAAACGTTTTATTCACTCTCTCCAGACGCAAGACTATCATCTTTAGATGACATTTACAGTGTAACATGTAGATTCGGGCCAATTTTTTCCTCCTTACCTTTCTATCCCATTTACCCTTGCCCAGTGCAGGGTAGCAAACCAAACATTTCTTTCTGGTTAACCTATCTGCCTTTCACTAAACCTTTCTCTATCTCTCTCACTAACAAGCTTCGTATGATACGCTGTTTTGCTTTCTATGTACATTCTGGCAAAAGCAGCGAGTCTGCAGGTTACTGGAAAATAATAAAAAAAAAGTTTCCACGGAAGCGCTCAGAGACAAAAAATTCAGACAGTCGTTGTATGTAGTGCTCACTCGAAAACTGACCCCAGTGAGTCACGCTAGGTTGCGTTTTTGACCTCGCGTGTTGCAAACGCGAACGAAAAGCTGGGGTACCGCTAACCTGAGAATATGCCGCGCTTAGTTTCACCGCATTGTTCCAGCAAGACTTCCTGTCCCGTTATCTCTGTTCTCGTTTCTTATACGGACTCTCTTGAAATTTGAACACAGTACTAGCGAAAAGTGCGCATGGTGGTAAGGGGTAGTAAATAACCACAATAGATAAAAAAGCGTGAAGAGTGCCTAAGGCCCTCCCGTACTACTTTGAGCACCTCAATTTGCACCTTGCGTGACTGTTCGGTAGGATACGTTGGAAGTTTTCTTTTTTTTAGTTGTGATATTAGGCACTTGGATAGAAGCCTTCAAGCTTTGTTATCTAAACACGCTTCTGAAGGGATAACAAGCATATCATGTGGCTTTATTGGTACCGCGTACGCTTTAACATTTTCTTTGTCGTATCAGTACCGTAAAATAACAGAAAGCAATGAAAGAACCAAAAACTAAATACAAAAACATGACTGCGTAACTTATTCACAAAAATCACCGTAAATAATGGAGCGCAGCGTGCACCTAAGCGCACAGACTATGCTTTTCTTGTTTTTTTGTTTTCAATGCCATATCAGTCGGGAGAACAATACAGGCTCACAAATTTCCCTAGTTGGTGCAGACATTCGCGAGTACGAAGTAAAGAAATTGGCATTTAGTCTGAGCACTTCTATTATAATCGTAAACAAACTTGCGCAGCTAAAAAGCTTGTTCAGTTCTAGTTTATTTTTTTACGTGCCATCTGCCGAAATTTTCTTTCTATTTCTATGAATAGTGAGCAATATCCGCAATCATACTACAAGTTGGTACTAAAATTGGCTCATCTGGTAGTGTGGCAACGACACCAACATGTCGAGACTTCTTAGATTGGGATTGCAGCTGCAAATAAGCGATTATAACGTGCACATAAGCTTAGAGTATACCCGCATATCCTGCCACGGCGTTCTATGAATATTCCCATGCGCCCTTTTATAAATAGTGAGACCAACGACTGTTTGTTTTGCTTGCCACTAGATGACGGAAATGGAGGCCGTGGTTACAAATCGCTCCCGCTTGAACGCGCTACATGCAGCCGCCGAAGCACACGGGCCACGCGTTCGCGTGTTCCCTTTCATGAAAATTGACACTACGTCATTCAACTAGCCAAACTTGGTGTTCTCCTTAATTGTCAGTGGCTTTGTAAATCACGCCAATCTGGGGCTACGACAGGCTACTCTACTGCAGTTCATTTCCGGTTGGGCCAGTATTGTTCTTAAAAACGTTATGTTGCATTTAGAAAGTGCAAATTATGTTGCATTTAGAGTGTGCTTTTATAAACTCACGTATTAGGGTTCTCACAGATTTTTGATGGTATTTACGGGTTCTCAAATACGTACCATTGTTCATTTTATAGTTGTATTGATTTCTGTGACGCCAATGAAATTTTTTGTTCTCTTTTTATATTCTACGCAGCTTCGATAGTGTACACGGCCGTGGCTGGTGGAAAGGTAGCGCTACCATGCGACATCAGCCCGCCTTCGCCTGACGACTCGGTGACTCTGGTGCTGTGGTACAAAGACGAAAGTCTGGCACCCATCTTCACACTTGACTCCAGGAAGAATCACGTAGACCAGGCACGCCAGTCTCCCGCGCCGGGGCTTGAGCGGAGGCTTTTCTTCGACATGGGCCACTCGCCTGCTCACTTGAGGATTGACCCTGTGCGGGAGGGAGACGGTGGCGAATATCGATGCCGTGTAGATTTCCGCAAGGCCCGCTCGGTGAACACTGTGATCAACCTCAAGGTGATCGGTGAGTATTCTCCTGAAATACAGGCACCTTAATAGGTTCTCCTAAAGAAAGGTAGAAAACCAAATGACAGATGACAGAGAGGTGAACCAGATATGCATCTGTTGCCTACGCTGCGCTGGAGGATTGGGAAAGGGATATATTAAGGTTTAAAATGAGGGAGGTAAAAGAGGAGATCGGTGGTGAACTCGCTAACGCCGCCGGAACTGCAACCCTTTAGTCAGTCGCTAGCACACGTGGTTTTGGGGCGTAGCATCATATAATATCATTAGAAAGTAATATAATAGAGTCCCCAATAGTTTTGATCCCGAAAGAAAGAGCTTCGAGACCACTGAACATGCGCGAAGTCCAAACAGCGTTTGAGTTTTTCGTTGGGGACCCTATTTCTTGAATTTAGTGGGAGCTGCAAAGTCTGCCCCAAAAGCTTTGTGTCAAAGAAAAATAACAGCATGCCTACTGAAACTACGACTCTTAATTTACCTAGACCCTGTGTCGTAAGCGCCGAAGACCCTATTCGGAAGCTCCCTATTATTATTATTATTATTATTATTATTATTATTAGTATTATTATTATTATTATTATTATTGTTGTTGTTGTTGTTGTTGTTGTTGTTGTTGTTGTTGATGTTATTATTATTATTATTATTATTATTATAGGCGCTCGCCCAAGCCCGTTGTTTTCACGTAGCACAAAAGGGTCATCACACTCTTGTGGGCCGGGGAGCGACGGTGTTCTAAACAACTGTACGCAAAGTGTGACGATTGGTCTTTCTCGCGACAAAACAGAACGTGCTTCTCTTTCCGAGCTGTATTACTGAGGTACAAGTGGCCCACTCGATAAACGCTCCTCGTCCGTGCGACAGCTATCGCCTGCCACGCACTCAATCATTTTCATTAACGGCCGTGTACGCCTCGGCTAAGACAACTGTTACACCCATTTCTCCGTGTTTCTGTAACAACACAACGCTCACGTGCGTGACTCACCTTGCTCTCACAAATTGCATCCTGTAAATCTAGGACATGATGCTTCTGCGCGTCATCAGGGCAAGATGCGATTCTTGACTGAGAAGTGACGGGTGACTTACAAGAGCGGAAGCATGAGGAGGCCCTAAGATGACTATTGCGGCTGACAGACACCCAAACGGGTGCTACTGTGGTTACGCGATTGAGAAGGGAATTTTATTGTACCCTTAACTTGTACATACACAAACCAAACATCGTAAACATGTAAAGGCAGTGTATACATCGTACAAATGAGCATCAAAATCTAATTGATTACTGGGTATCCAAATTTTACAAGTCAAAGGAAAATTAAAACGAATCAAGTAACCACAATGTACAGAATAACATGCATGCATGCGTACTAGAGTGGGCGCATGGCTAGTACGGAACAACTGAAATATCATTGTGCATGCGGCCCTCGATGGTTCGGTGTCATGAACGCGTTTATATGATCCGTCTTACAATAAGTAATGGTCTCTATCGTGGACTTGTCGGCGATCATTCTTTGCTTCTCAGGCAATGCGATATTTCATCTAGGTGGCTCGTCGTATTTTGTTTCCACATTTCACTCTTGTCCCTGATTGAGTGCATGCCAGTTGCGGTTGCCTGTTGCAATAACTGTTCCGCTACTAAACACGTACATAAAGGTTCAATTCCAGGCACGAAGGAAAACATTAGGGTGCGGGGCGGGTGTCCTGCATTGCGAACGAACAGAGAAATGAACGATCGAACAAAAGAACGAAGAAAAGAAAAAAAGAAAGAAAAGATAAAAGCAAAAAAGAAAGAAAGAGCAGAACGGGACCTTATCTTTGCTTAGGGGTTCTTGATTTTTTTAATAATTGATATAGTCACGCCACTGGAGTCAATATCGATCACCTCAGCAGATAGTGGCTTTGTGAATCATGCTAACCGGGGGCTACGACAGGCTACTCTACTGCAGTTCATTTCTGGTTGTGCCAGTATTGTTCTTAGGAACGTTATGTTAGTATGCTGAGTGTGTATTTAGAAACTCGTGTATTGGGGTTCCCACAGATTTTTTATTCGATTAAGGGGTTCTCAAATACGTACCATTGTTCATTTTTTAGTTATACTGAATTATGTGACGTCACTGATTTTTTTGCTTTTTGTTCTCTTTTTATATTGTACGCAGCTTCGATAGTGTACACGGCCGTGGCTGGTGGAAAGGTAGCGCTACCATGCGACATCAGTCCGCCTTCGCCTGACGACTCGGTGACTCTCGTGCTGTGGTACAAAGACGAAAGTCTGGCACCCATCTTCACACTTGACTCCAGGAAGGATCACGTAGACCAGGCACGCCAGTCTCCCGCACCGGGGCTTGAACGGAGGCTTTTCTTCGACATGGGCCACTCGCCTGCTCACTTGAGGATTGACCCTGTGCGGGAGGGAGACGGCGGCGAATACCGATGCCGTGTGGATTTCCGCAAGGCCCGCTCGGTGAACACTGTGATCAACCTCAAGGTGATCGGTGAGTATTCTCCAGAAATACAGGCACCTTAATAGGTTCTCCTAAAGAAAGGTAGAAAGTCGAATGACAGATGACTGAGAGGTGAACCAGATAGGCATGTGTTGCCTACGCTGCACTGGAGGATTGGGAAAGGGATATATTAAGGTTTAAAACGAGGGAGGTAAAAGAGGAGATCGGTGGGGAACTCGCTAACGCAGGCGGAACTGCAACCCTCTAGTCAGTCGCTAGCACACGTGGTTTCGGGGCGTAGCATTATATAATATCATTAGAAAGTAATATAATAGAGTCCCCAATAGCTTTAAATCCCGAAAGAAAGGGCTTCGAGACCACTGAACATGCGCGAAGCCCAAACAGCGTTTGAGTTTTTCGTTGGGGACCCTAATTCTTGAATTTAGTGGGAGCCGCAAAGTCTGCCCCAAAAGCTTTGTGTCAAAGAAAAATAACAGCATGCCTACTGAAACTACGACTCTTAACTGACCTAGACACTGTGTCGTCCGTTAGCGCCGAAGAACCCTATTCGGAAGCGCCCTATATTATATTATTATTATTATTATTATATTATTATTATATATTATAGTTATTAATTATATTATTATTATTATTATTATTATTATTATTATATTATTATTATTATTATATTATTATTATTATTATTATTATTATTATTATATTATTATTATTATTATTATTATTATTATTATATTATTATTATTATTATATTATATTATTATTATTATTATTATATAGGAGCTCGCCCAGGCCCGTTGTTTTCACGTAGCACAAAAGGGTCATCACACTCTTGCGGGCCGGGGAGCGACGGTGTTCTAAGCAACTGTACGCAAAGTGTGACCATTGCTCTTTCTCGCGACAAAACAGAACGTGCTTCTCTTTCCGAGCTGTATTATTGCGGTACAAGTGGCCCACTCGATAAACGCTCTCGTCCGTGCGACAGCTATCGCCTGCCACGCAGTCAATCATTTTCATTAACGCCGTGTACGCCTCGGCAAAGACAACTGTTACACCCATTTCTCCGTGTTTCTGTAACAACACAACGCTCACGTGCGTGACTCACCTTGCTCTCACAAATTGCATCCTGTAAATCTAGGACATGATGCTTCTGCGCGTCATCAGGGCAAGATGCGATTCTTGACTGAGAAGTGGCGGGTGACTTACAAGAGCGGAAGCATGAGGAGGCCCTAAGATGACTATTGCGGCTGACAGGACACCCAAACGGGTGCTACTCTGGTTACGCGATTGAGAAAGGGAAGTTTATTGTACCCTTAACTTGTACATACACAAACCAAACATCGTAAACATGTAAAGGCAGTGTATACATCGTACAAATGAGCATCAAAATCTAATTGATCACTGGGTATCCAAATCTTACAAGTCAAAGGAAAATTAAAACAAATCAAGTAACCACAATGTACAGAATAACATGCATGCATGCGTACTAGAGTGGGCGCATGGCTAGTACGGAACAACTGGAAATATCATTGTGCATGCGGCCCTCGATGGTTCGGTGGTCATGAACGCGTTTATATGCTCCGTCTTACAATAAGTAATGGTCTCTATCGTGGACTTGTCGGCGATCATTCTTTGCTTCTCAGGCAATGCGATATTTCATCTAGGTGGCTCGTCGTATTTTGTTTCCACATTTCACTCTTGTCTCTGATTGAGTGCATGCCAGTTGCGGTTGCCTGTTGCAATAACTGTTCCGCTACTAAACACGTACATAAAGGTTCAATTCCAGGCACGAAGGAAAACATTAGGGTGCGGGGCGGGTGTCCTGCATTGCGAATGAACAGAGAAATGAACGATCGAACAAAAGAACGAAGAAAAGAAAAAAAGAAAGAAAAGATAAAAATTAAAAAGAAAAAAACAAGAGCAGAACGGGACCCAATCTTTGCTTAGGGGTTCCTGATTTTTTTTAACAATTGATATAGTCACGCCACTGGAGTCAATATCAATCACCTCAGCAGAGATGTAGCTACTCATCATTTTCTAGACACGCATCGCCTTGTTGCATAAATTAATACGAAACGTAGCGAATACGGGTCTTTTTATGTTGTTATTGCGATAGCAATTATATGAATACACTCAGCTGGATTTCGCCGCCGGCATTGGTGTCGATGTCACGCACCGTATATGCATGTGTATCTATATATAATAAAACGCAAGAAAGAAAAAAAATACAGAAAAGAAACACTCCGGCGCGCGAAATCGAACGTGGGACCACTGCATCGTGAAAGCAAGGCGTTAACCACTGAGCCATTTCGGAGCACGTCCTTCACCGTTAATACGGCAAGCCATTTATCTCTTCCACTTACCGCTGCTCACGAGCATCTCGAGGTGAATTTCGTTTTCAGCATTAGCAGCAAGGTGGTGCAATGAGCGGACGTCACCTAAACGTCGCTACATCGCGTGGATGAGCCCGCTCTAATCTCCTACGCGTACTTTGTCCGGCTTAGAGAAAAGGAGCGATGCTCCTTCGCGCGCCCTTATCTCGCGGGGGCGAGGAGGGGAGGATCGTACGCCTTAGCTGGCCTCGGGCTTGAACGATTCTGCTGTAGTTACCGGGTGCACAAAGGTCACTACAATCATTACAGTGTCCGTTTGGGAAAATCGCGCGCTTTTCAGATACAGCAAAGTGACAAATGAGACGCTTATTCCCGTGCGTCTGTACCTGTGAGTACGTTTCATGTGTTATTTGTGCGTGAGAAACACGGCGCACGTTTCGATCTGATTTCCATTCTGCGCCTGACATTTCAATTTGTTGCTATCGCGTTAATTGGTTCGCTTTTGCGGCAAAGCTGTGACATTTTTAATCACTGAAGTGGCTTTTAGGAAATGGTTAAAGGGCTCACTCATACACACTACGGAGTGACAAAAAAGAGGTAATTTGTTTGTGTGCTCTATAAACCTCTTATGTTAAAGCACAATACAGCGAGGAACTGTAGCACTGCCGCTTGAATCGAATCAGTGTGGACAGAGTCATGATTGTGAGATGTGATGTACGCTGACCGATTTCGCACAAGTGATACGCTAAGAAATGCAGCGCTTCATATTGTGCAAATACTCTGATGATGGGAACAACCTGACGATATTGGAGGGTTTAAGAAGTGGTGACATACAAGAAACACGAAGCAGGCCTCATGAAATTTTCACTCCTGATATAGGTATGTTAAAGCGCTCTGAAGAAACTGGGGAGAGGGGAAGCATGCAGTGTTTCGATATAGCTTGCTTTGATGAAGCCAAATGGTGTTCCCACTCTCCTAACGTTAATATGAAACTCAGCTAGAACTGCCGAAAAGTGGGTTAGCTATTTTTTGGGCCAACTGTTGCCATCTTCATTTTAGGGGCGAAGCTCCCTAAAATGAAGATGGCAACATCCCTTGTATCTACGTAGTAGTACGCAGCCACCAGTGGCACATACCTGCTCTAGAGCGGCTATGTGCCACAGGGAATGCGATATGAGAGATGGCGGTACTTGGAGTGTTCACAAGATGGACGCATGGACGGACGGACAGACAGACTTACAGACAAACGGACAAATGGGTAGACGTGCGGACGTATTGACGGATGGATGCACGAACAGACAGACAGACAGACAGACAGACAGACAGACAGACAGACAGACAGACTGACAGACAGACAGACAGACAGACAGACAGACAGACAGGCAGGCAGGCAGGCAGGCAGGCAGGCAGGCAGGCAGGCAGATGAATGGACGGACTCACGGACGAATGCACGGACAGACAGACGGACGCATGGATGGACGCACGGATGGTTTCGCGCACGGACGGAAGCAAAAGCGAACGGACGGACGGAAGAACGGATGGGCTGACGGACGCTTCGCCCCACTCAACATCATTCACTCCGTGGATATGCTGTGATTTTTTAGTGAACCGGAGGTGACTACTGAGTTATGCCATTTTTGTGACGTATACCCGTTTGTGATTGACTGACAACATATCACACCATGGCGTCATTGGATGACGAGAAGCCATGTCTTTTGCGGTGCTTCGTACCAGCAGGTCTCCCTGACACGTGGTTTTTAATCTATATTTCAGTTATCGGAACATGAAGTTGCCGTTCCCTACTTTTTATTTGCATGATGTGCTCGAGTGTACAAATAGTTATTTCTCCGAGAAACATATAGCCACTTCTTGGGTCAGCGTTTGCTTATTCATGTTATTATATAAGAGAAAATGTGTGCCATTCAAAAGTGTTTCAATGCCTAAATGAGATATATTTATTTCACCCTTTAGTGAAGCTCCTTTTTGAAAATTGTATTGTATTTATGGCCACTGACTTTCGTAGTATATCAAACCGGCTCACAAATATTGACTTTTCCAGAGGCATCTGAAATAATATCCGTAATATCAGTGACCTCTTTTTCACGGGTCAGACGTATTTGTCGTGCAAATGACATAGCCCTTTTTAATTTGTCGGGTTGCATTTTCGAACACCATGCCATGTTTCATAATTTAATCAAGCGCAGACCTCGGGAAACCAAGAGTTTGAACTTCGTTTCCATGACGACGCTTATACATACGATTTCGCTTACGTACAACTTCTGTGAGAATCGATCCAGGTCTCTGATGAATCTGAGTAAATATCTTCCTTATCACATGCTGTCGCTATAGTCTTTGCTTTTATTTGACGACTACGATTGCAAAGAACTGGTCGCAGTGTCATGAAGGCTTTTGGACGGGGCGAGACTGAGGCCAGCTGGGGCTAGGATGATGTATTAATCACGCACGAGCTACAAGCTTAAATAACGTTCAACCTCATATATCGTTCAAGGGCGTTTACATCTATAGCATCTGATAGTTTCTTTTGATCCTCCAGCGAGAAGTGAAAGATAGTTGTGACGTATAAGATAATTTAGCTGGACGTTAGCGTAAAGCGTTTTTAAGGCCAGACTAGTGCCAGTAGGGTTGGAATATAAGCTACTGAAAACAAAGGTGATTAAAAGAACGCGGTGGAAGGTTCAG